GCAGTGATGTAAACGGACAATGGAAATCCTGAAGACCCCCCCCCCCGTGCACACTTCTTTTTGTTACAGATGTTTGAGCAGTATAATGACCTATCTGTATGCTAACTGAATTAATGAGCCAGTCTATTGGAAAACCTTTATACATATCAACAAAATGCAGCTAAGTACATTTGGTCAAGTACTGCACTTAAAGGAATAATCTGACATTTTAAAAGAGACATTTCTTCACTTTTTTGCATCGACTTAAATGAAAAGACTGATAACTCCCTCCTGTGTCCTAAGTATGAAGCTACCAGCAGCCAGTTAGTTTAGCATAAAAACTGGTGACAGGTGGAAACAGACCTGGCCAGGACCAGTTGCCAGGCAGCCACTGGAGAAGTTACTGGTCTCAGCCATTGACAGCATATACAATGGACATCATCACAGCTCCTAGAAGTGATGCCACCGTGACTCAATTGCCTCCTGGAGGATAGTTGCAGTATAGGTCATAAATCCCACCCCCTTTGTGTTAGTGGAAGGGACATGAGCCAAACTGAAAGCTCAAAGAACAAGTCAAATTTTTTCCAGAGATGATTTCTGTTTTATTGTCTTATCACACGTATGCGTGTACATGTGGTTATTTTTCTGGTAAGTTTGTTTTTAATGAGGCATTTGATGATATAAAAAGGCATGTTTTAGAATCTGGTTGCAAAAAATCAGGATGGCAGCCACCATATTCACAATATGCTGGCTTCACTGTGGAGGGAAGTGGTGATGCATCTGCTTCACTGAATCTCATAAGGAAAAATCAGAGTTTGTACTCCACTAAATTTATACAAGAGTTTCACTTACTAGTTATCTTGCTCATTATTATTTGCCATTCACATGACCACCTTTTAAATTATGATGTTATGATATTAGATACTATATTGTGATATTATATTCTTCTTATCAAGTTTATAATTGAGCCGTAACCCTTTTCCCCTCAAAATATGAAAGAATCACTTAGTTCTCTAATAATATTGCAGAAATATTTCAGGTATTTTATAAAGTCAAGTTTCATTATTCAGAATACTAGTGCAGACAGGTTAAAAGAGTTAAAACTGGCTCCACCATGACTACAGTGGCTACAACAGCAAAATGGTTCTCACATTTTAATACATCAGTAATATCATCTGTATATAAAGCACTATGAAATGGCTGACTATATAGTACTTGTAATTCTCTAAATTGATTACTTATTTATCTTTAATTGTAACAATATTTTTTACATGGTTACATTACTTTTACCTTTTTCCACCAGTGAAGAAACAAATCTTCATGGGTGATGCCCATGTGAAATTTCCTTCTACTTCTTATTGGTCCTGTTCAGTCACATGACCAGCCATTATGCAGGTTGCATTAAAGAACGCACCCACTGACCTGACTGTAACTACTTGTTTGCTCACATACAGTAGCCTTTGTGTCCTCCCTGCAGTGGGATTAGGAAACACTGACACCTTGTGGCTGAAAAGGGAAGTGGACCCATGTCCTTTGTCAGACTATACAAATAGATTATGGTGTTGCATGAGCTCAAAAATGCAAGTCATGTTGTTTTAGCAGAAAACTGACACTGATGCATCCAGAATTCCACTCATGTTTTGCTGTCAGTAAGACAATAAGGATTATTATTTGCTCAATTGCCTCAGATTCAGTTTGAAACATTAGAATCTTTCTGAAATATCTTCAATGACCCCTCCTCCGCTGTCTTTTTCTGCAGCAGTCAGGTGTATTCATGACAGTTGATGTTACAGGTGAGGGTCACTGTCAGTTTTTGACTCCACCTTTTAAAGCAAAAGCAAACATACACTGGGAGGGGGGTGTAACTAGTGCAGAGTTTACTTCCAAAATACCATGTTTAAAAATGATTTCTGATCGGTTTTCAAAAGAGAACAGGTAACAGTGTTTGGTTGACAGAATATTTGTGGACCAGATATTGTGTATTTTACACATATTTAAAGCTGTATTAATTGATTGCTTTTGACCACTTGGGAGAAATTTAAAAAGCTGTAAATACTACTCATATTTTCACAGTAGAGAGAGGCTCTGATCCACTGGTAATTCCCCGCGAGTTCTTCACTGTTAGTGGACCTGACTTGTACTTGTAAATTATTTTGGAAGCAAGCTCTTCCCACTCTGTGTCGCTTCATCTGTGTGGTTCCTCATGTCCTGTGTTCTGACAGTCTGGCAGGCAGACCCAGGGCCACACAACCTGTTCTCTTTCAGTTTGATGGGGATCAAAGCCAGCAGCTATTCAAAGTTTTTCTCCTGCCTTTAGTGAGTGTATTGAAGTCAAACTGCACAGCAGCGAGGACACATTAAGACACTTTGTTGTAAATTTCTCTCTTCACACAAGTATTATGGAGCACGAGGCTCCAGTGGGAGATAAGTTACTGTCAAACAACTCCTATGCAAAATGACAAACAAAACAAAACAAAACAAATCCAGGCTAAAGCTCTTACCTGTGCTTAGGCTTTGCAGTTAACAGGTTTTATTATATGTTGATGAGTGATGTGTATTCATTCCTTGTGTAATACTGAGTACAGTAGTTCAAGACAGTGCTCATTTATGTCACAGCATTTTGTACCCTAAATGAATTATTGTAAAGAAATACATATATGGATAGTATAAAATCATATTTATTATTTCCACACATCTATGAATAATACCCATGTGTAAACTTTCCTCTGCCTTAGAGTAACTATAGTAGCTACAGAAAGGGACCTCTGGCGGACAAACCAGGCATCATTAAACCATAGTTCCTGTTATTTTAGAGGTTATTCATTTCCACGTGCTCACATGAAACCACGTCCAGCTACCGAATGTGTTAATGCTGCCTCAGTGAAACGACAGGAGGAAGGTGACAGTGTCACCAGCTTCTCTTGGTTTGTTTCAACTTTGTCCCACAGATTTTTCACAGTTCCACTGTTTTTACAGGAATGATTATGACTCACGTTTCAAGTTGTATGGAGGGTGCCTTTTTGTCATTCATCTTCTGAAGATGTTATGGGAATTTGTTCAGGATCGTTTTGTTTATTTTCACACTGCCTCTGTTACCTCCCGGGGTCTTTCTTCAGTGTTTCCTCATTACTATGTAGCATATTATTTACACGATGTGGAAGCTAGCAGCTAAATATATATGTTTGATTTCACTTCATTATGTCACACTTCTAGAGACTGCAAACAATGATGGATTATCTTGTTTTCTCATCTAATAGCTATTGTCCTCATACATTACTGAATTTATAAGTATGTTTTGAAATGCTGTACATAAAAACACATTTTAAGAATTTCTCATTGAGATATTGATACAAGAATCGTCTTTTAAGGCACTGTTGTTGCTCAAATATTTAGTGCTAAAATGAAATTGTATTTAATGTTTTTTAAGTATTGCATTAGACACTAAAGTTCTGGCAGTGCTATGAGAGTTATAAGGCAGATGATGCTCTTGTCTGTGTGTAGCTAGACACACATTAGTACATGCCTACATGAAATCTAGTGCACCTCTAGGCCGCTCTTTCCTTTCACACTTCCTCCTTTTGATAGTATTGCATGTGCCTGTCTTTTTCCAATGGAGAACATAAGCACTTATTGTCGCTGGCTCAACAGTTTGTACAGACAGACAGACACTCCATCTGCAAAGCTGAGCTTCTGCGATGCCTTCGGTGCCTGTCATGCCATTCAAATAACAAGAATTGTTTGGCCTGTGTCACAAAACATGGTAACAATAACTCTCTGTGCCATCAGAGTATCTTTTCCTGAGCAGTTGTGGAAGAAATTTAAACATTGTGGTCTCAGAAAGAAAAAATAGCAGCTGTTATTTAATTAAAATATTTTAAATGAAGCTTCATGCATGTAACTTCCTGGAGCTCTCAGTGAGCTGCTCCAGCAGAGGGCTTTCCAGCTTGGTGTGTCTGTCTCTTCTACAGTACATTCTCTCTGTATTATGTGTGTGTGTGTGTGCGCGCGTACACACAAGTTTGAAATATACATATGGCCTAAATGTATTGTCTTTTCATAGCATTTATAGATAAGGCAGCAATAGCTCAAACACAGGAAAATCAAAAAGAAAACATTTATTTAGCTGCTTTTAGCAAATTTGTGCAAATTTCATTGTACAAATGACTGTTATATGAGAAAAAGTTAATGTATATTTATTTTATATCCTCTATTATAATTAAAAAAAATTTGTCTCAATGACTGATTTGTGCAGCAGGTTTTGGGAGTGGTGCAGGTTATGTGCACTGATTGTCTCCATAAACTATAACTGACATACTACAGTTTACATTGCTGCTCCATTTAAAAATGTTTTTTTTCCTCAAACACAAAAGTATAAAATTATATTATTGTGCTTAAATGCACATCTTTCACAGATGTACTGCAACAGGTGTATTACAACAAGCTTTAGTGACTGGTGGGTCAGTAATTACAGAACCATGCTGCACAGCCAGAGTTTTGTGCTAAACGCCACTGGAGGTCTAAAGGCTCCAAATATATCAGCATCACTATTGTTGAAATGTTTATAAAATAATATGTGTGTACAATATATGTATGCAAGATAAATGATATGGTTAGAATAACATGACTGGTCCAACCTTAGAGCTACTTAAGTATGGTAAAGGGAAAAAGAGCCATATTCTGTGATAGTTTGACTGTATGATGCGAATTTGCTTGATATAAAAGGACAGTTACTGACCTCACTGCCTTCTAGACCTTAAGGTCAAGAGTAGAGGTTAGCATCCATCCATTCATTTTCTATACCGCTTATTCCCAAACGGGGTCACGGGTAGAGGTTAGCAGCAACAGGAAATGCAAAGCAATGGGAA